GGTATAAATATATGTTATTAAAAAATGCTCTTAGATATATGGCTTAACTTTTAGGTTCCCTGTGTGGAGTCAGGCTTTGGACTTGATGATCCTTGTGCATCTTTTCCAACTGAGGATACTCTGTGATTCTGAAGGTGTTTCTGTGTCTGACCTCTAGGATTTCCTAATATAAATCCACCTTCTGCCTTGGTTGCTGCTGTGCAGTGCACAAGATGGAGTGGAATCATGTTAAAAACTGTTCCATCTTTGCAATTTGCATTGCTGGAAGAAAAAGTAATGTTTTCATAGACTGCAAAAATGTATGCTAATTTTTCCGCAAGTCAGAGAGATCTGGTAGGACAGTCCCCCAGCAGAACCAGGGGTTGTTTTAAAAATCATATTTACATGCTGTATGTTGTGGGTCTGTTAGGAGGTATGTACTAGTGAAACGGTATTAATAATTTTTTTCTGATGCTATAGCTCCAGTTCATTCAAATCTGTCAACCCTAATGTTTGTCTTATTTGTGTATTTGCGAATAAGAATAAACCAGGAAAACAGACTTTTCTAGAAGACAAAGAAATACGTTCCTCCATCAGTTATTCTTCTGTTCTTTCCCCATAAATCAGACTTTGTTTCTGAAAAGGATAATTTTGGGTCCTTGAGTCTCATCATTTAAGACCTTAACAATCAGAGAGAGGAAGGATTATTTCTTTGCTTTAAAATGAAGAAAGATCTCTCAGAACAATTTCCCTTTCATTTCCATCTCTAAAGTATTGTCTGGAAATACTTCATCTATGAAATATTTTTAAAATCAGCATTTCTCCTACAACCTGCAAATTCCAAAGAAGTGAAAATGGATATGTTGCAGCTGATCTACATTCTCCTTATCTGGGGAAACCAAAATGACATTGAATATAAGAGAGATTGTAAATAACTCTGAACTTGCTCATTAAATTATGTAATTACATTTTATATTCAACATTAAAATGAGTATTAGTTAAGACGTTAGGAAGGTCTAGAATTCATATTGCATATACATGCCCAGTTTTTCTCCATGCCTATTTGCCTTATGACAGTTTTCAGTTCTGTAGTCCTGTATTATTTTTACATGATCCCATCTCTTAAATTTCCGTGGTAGATAGTGCCTCCTCAAAATAAATGTATTACAGGGTTAGAAACAAAAAAGGGACTAATGCATTGTGGTGGTCAGTACCTCAACATTTAATCATTTCATAATTTTAATAGTATTTAAAAACTAGCATTATGAACTCCACTTCTGGAGAAGAATGAAGAGGTTAGTCTGTCTGAGTTAGGCACCTGGAAGAGGGATCTTGAGAAGCAGCACTCTGAGTATTGAGATGCTAAATTATTAATGGAAAGCAACAGGGAGAAACGCTTATCTGAAAACGTTTCCTACCTCAGGACTTTTTACGAAGTGGAAGCCAGAACTTGAAACCCTGACATTCAGTGTTCAGCTCACTTTTCTTTTAAAATCCTGCAGTACAGTATGGCTCACTGAAGTGCCTGAGTGCCTACCAAATTGGAAACTCGAGTTCTTTTTGTCCCAGGGAGTTAGAACCTGTTTTTCTAGCATCCTGTGCTGGTTTTCCAAACAGGCAAATCAGGTCCTTTGAAATAGGTTCATAAATAGCTGGTTTCTGTATCCTAGATAGCTTGGGGGGAAATCAGGCACCAAGGAGTTAGCCTAGGAAAGACAGGGGTGTTTGTAGGAAGCTTTTCTCTGGTCATCCTACACCTCCATTGCTGCTTTGGTGGTTTTGGCACAGTACAATCAATCTCTTGTGTAACATAAGCATCAAAATCCTGCCTCAGTGGCATCTGCTTTCTCGGATCTGCCCAAATCTGTGAAATGAGTATCATTTAGTACCGCATAGATTATGTTTTCCAAACTTGCGTAGAAAAGAGATCATTAATTTTCTCATGGACTTTCACGTTCCATAGTTGGTAACCTCAAAACCAGTGAAGGTGTTTGGGTACCTCACTGTGAGGCAGTTTTGTATCTGTGTGAACATTGGTGTCATTTACTTCACAATGAACATGAAGGGTTCATTATATAGACACGCATGTAACACACAGAGAACTCCTGTAAATAAACCAGATAAACTTAAACAAAAAACATCAAGTGGTGTGAGAGGGGAGGGGCCTGGGTTTTCAGAGTAGGTGGCATTTTTCCAGCATTTATCTTCAGAAGAGTGTTCCTATTCACCTCTTGGAACTGTGAACAGTCAGCACTTTTTTTGCAGAAGATGTCAAATACCCATATAGCAGCAGCTCTTCAGTGCAATAGCGCACCGGCGGAGTCCTTTGGCAGAAAATTCACGTCAGGTTCCCTGAAAATGTACTTGTTGTTCTTTCATTGGCCTCATGAAAGAAGATTTCTTACGCTCATGTTTTCCCTTTGTTCTAGGGCTTTACTGAAATGAAATTGCTTGACACAGCTGTTCTAAGACATACAAGTGACCTCTTTAACTCCTCATAAGTTTTCCCTTTCTTAGAATACCAAGTGTGTGCACAGGCAGGGTTTAGATTTCATGCATTAGGACATAAGATAATGCAGACAACAGTCAGTACAATACACTGTACTTACATAACAGGAACAATATGCAAATCCAGAAAATAAAAAGATAGTACACTCTAGGAACATTTTTGTTGCCTTGTCATCCTGTAATATTCTCACAGATTAAATCCAGTGAAATCACTGCGATTTCCAGGTTTATTTCCCTGTAGCTACTGACCACTAAAAAAGAATGAATAATTGTTGAATGCTTTTGGAAGTATCCAGAAGTAGTTTAGTTACGCATTTTTACAATAAAATGTGACATTCACTTTCATTACAGAGTAGGCTAGTAAGGGTAACAAAATATGTAAATATTTTAATGAGAATTATAAGCATCTTCAATGTGTGAAATTATTAAATTGTATGATGCAACAAATGTAAATTAACTAAATTTGTATGAACTAAGTAAAATTTGGTACGTATTTAAGTGAGAAATGTTTATTTTTTAGTTCTTACATTATTTCTGGAGGTTGCCTCAGCTGAGATTTTTTGTTCCCATGAGGTTTTGTTTTCAAGGAGAGTAAAATTATATATCATGCAGGATCAAGTCTATTTTCAGCCTCTTGAGCAAAAGTGGCTATAACTTTTTTGATCTTAATCTTTAAAAGTTGCAACTTTTCTTGCACCCTCCAGATTTGCCAGTTTAAGCTAATCTGCTATCAGAATGGGGTTTTTTAAATTAATCCTTACAAATTTTTCCTCTATGCAATTTAGTAATTTTAGAAACAGATGTTTAGATATACAGGTGCCATTCCTAGATTAGACAAGAAGTAAACCTGACACTTGTAATTTATTTCTACTGCTTTTTTCCCATCTGAAAACTTCAAAGTTTTTTCTTAAATTTGGCCTCGTACAGAAAACTCTGAGCATATGCCTTTTCCTTGTTTGGTGAAGTTCAAGCAGAGATTAACAGTATAATTTAGCCAAACGTAAAGGTTAATAAATAACTACCCAAATCATTATTTATCCTTTTCTTTTAGAAGGACATCAGTTTGTATAGATTTAGTTTGAAAATGTTCCCCAAAGGGTTTGGTTATTTGTTTTTCTATTTAGTTTCTTTATCTCAAATCATAACTATGATGGAAGACTGCACTAACCTCTGAACGTTCAGTGCAAGATAAGTTTTAATTCAATCATTAAAAGTCTTTCAGGACTCACTAAGCTTCTTTTTTCTGCATTTTAAAATATTTATACAGCTATAAGCTCTGCAATATTATGGTATAACAATTCTACTAGAATAAATAAAGTTTTACTACAAAAATATTTACTTATTCACTAATTAATTTTATGCATTCTTTGGTAAGTTTTCAAAATGTTAATTCTATTGTAATTTCCAGGGCATATATAATCACTTACCTAGGTCAACAGATTTTGGTACTTGAAACATTTTCCATTTGAAGTCACTAATGAACAAAACCACTTCATTGCATAAGATTGCATATCTAAAGCAGCTTCTCTTAGTTTTTCACAGCAGTTTTTTCCAACATAGGGTTTAAAATCGCTTAGCTGCTGAGTTGTGTGGAAGTGAACTTAACAACAGAGTATGAGACCATGAAAATAGATAATATGCTTGTTTCCCTTTATATTTAGGTGGTTTTTGAAATCTTGTACTTAAAAAAGCATGTATTTTCAACCGTGTCAGGCTTCTCAGTGTTTGGATGGAAAAGTAAGAGTGAAGAAAATGCCTGTATAGTACATACATAAACATGTCCCAGTGGTGATTCACATGGTGCCAGTTGTTCTTATTCATCACCGCATTACAGTTTGACGAAGAAGTTGGGGGAGTGGATGGGACTCACATATGCCCTTAGACCTGATCTGTCCTCATAGATCAGATGATATTTTCTTCTTTCTGAAAGATGAGAAGAGGAGGTTTCACTGGGGGGAGGTGCTAATCACTGTGATTATGATAGCTGAGAGATGTTTTCTGTGCCATGAGAATGTTTAAATCCTCATCACTTGTGGCACTTTGTATGAAAATAAACATATTCAGCCTAGTATTATGGAAAAAATCCAGTTTTTGGGGCAGATCCACTGTCAAATCTGCAATTTAATGGATTATTTTTCATTTTGTAAACTCCCTTACATGTTAGAGTACAAAAACCGTCCTATGCCATAGGGCAATCTGGAAACAGTGGTGTTGTTTAGACAAATCTTCTTCTTTTTTTAATATTGTAGAATTGATGTAAAACTGAAGAGCTGCAACAGTTTTAATCCTACCTCTGAATTTCATGCCCAAACCACATTGTTTTCTTTGCAGTTGAACACAGGTCAATTTTGTTTTGACGGAAACACTCATGGTGCTATGACTCCGAGTTCTACAAACACCAGGCTCAATATTGATTGTGTTTGAGCCTAAACTCTCATTAATGAAACATTAGTGTCAGGAAAAAAAAAAAAATCTGGTAAATAGAGCTGGCTGGGTTTATGCCTGTATTTCAGAATCTTCATCAAGAAGTCCAGGAAACAGATGATTCGGAAAGCTTGTCAAGCCTTGACAGCCTTGAGACCGGAGAAAAAAATGGAGATTACACAACACCGAGTGAATCATCTTTGACAACACAGTGTGACTGTGCCCTGTACAATCCAGAAAAATTACAGACTAGAAATAATGGTTCGCTTTGTATAGCTCAAAGTACTTTTTCTACAACTATGCATTTAAATAATTGTCTGAGAAATGCAGATTTGCAGAACTACCACAACTTACCTATTCATGAACTTTTAGCTAAGCATATTGCTGAACATGTAAACAATTCAGAATCATCTGCTTCTCACAGATCTGGAAAAAGTCCTGCAGAGTTCTCTACCTCTGGTAAGCAAGAAAGCTCTCCAAGTAATGCATTTAGTTTCCTGCAAAATATAAAAGGAGAAAGAAACAAGTCATCCTCTGGAACAGCTAGCGCATTAGCCACTGCTCATCCTGTTTTCAGTCCTAGCAAAGCCTGGGCCAGCCCTGATTCTGTTCCAGGAGAAAGACTTCAGGATCTGATGCAAGATCAGAGTTTTAAAATGACCCCACAAAAAAGAACTGTATCTGTGCAAACCTCCTGTCAACCTATTGCAACATCTATAATCTTATTTCCTAATCAGGGATGTTCCACTGGCATTCCCAGCACTGCTGATATGTTACCGAAGGACAAAAATGTCATTACACAGTTTTTAAAAAATAACTCAGGAAAAATGACTGAAGCAAAAGAAGAAAATATTAAATGTGTTGATGATGTTAATCCAGGATCATCTTTATCTCGGGACATACCCAATGCCTCAGTTCTGTGTGATGTTCAGCAACAGAACACCAAAGAGGAAGAAGAGGGAAATATGATTGAAACTATATCTGTGGTGTCTGATAAAGAGTTTAATTCTGGCACCTCTCCACAGCACATAACCCTGAAAAACAATGTTTTTGAAAGAAAAAGAGCAAGGTTAGTCAGAAGTATCTTAAAGAAGTATTCTAAATATGAACCCAGTCATTTCAAAGCTGTGGTTGTGAACCGTGAGACCGGTTTTGGAACTCAACCCATGTCTTCGATCAGAGACAGTTTGGAACTGGCCAAAATAAAAAAGAAAAGCACAGAAGATGAAAAATGCAATAGAAAGCTAAGATGGTGTGATCAAATTAACTGGATAACGACTGAAAATCATGGAAAGTGCTATGAAAAAAACACCAGTGAAACACCACCTCCTGCCCAGCTGCAACATGTTCAGACTACAAATAATGCTCCTAAGACTAATTTAAGTATTGTTCCTCAGCCTTCAAACCCCATGTTCATAGCAAATCATCAGGAAACCTCTCATATATCAAAGCCAAATGTTAACACTGAAGAATCGGACAAAGGAGACACATCTCTGAATGGACATATGCCTACTGGATCCTTTTCTGCTAAAAAAGCTTGGATGGTGTCAAAAGATGAAGAAAGTAAACCCCCAGTATGTGGCAATAATTCTAAAATTAATGAAGGCAATAAACTCAAAAATAAGGCAAAAATGACTAGAAGAACAACATCTGTAAAAGCCCAGTCAAGTTTTATGCCCAAGAAGAGAACAGGCACTGTAATCCAACCGCAGTTGGTCGCTGAAGCCAGCAAAGCTCCAAAAACTCCAAGGAAATTGCCAGCACCTCACCCACCATCTGCACCTCTGCCGGGAAACCGAAGTGGCAGAAACGCAGCCGGCCCTGGGTGTCAGCCACTGCTGCCTTCACGGCTTCAAGCTGCCGCCACGAGCTGGAATGATGTAAATGAAAGGCATGTTTTGTTTTCAGATTGGGTTTTAAATCAGAACGGTACAGAAAACAGTGAGAGCATTACGTGTAGTCCGGACTTGGCCACTGCGATACCTACACCTGGCCGCAGCCCAGGCCAATACGAACCTTGGGCAAACGGTACTTGTTCTGTGAACGGTGTTCAGACAAGCGCCTGTCGAACTCAGTCAGTAACTTGCACTGAAAGAAGACCTGTTAATGCAGAAGAGGGATTACATCTCCATCATACCCCAACAGCTGGAAAAACAAGTACCTCCTGGCAAGCAGCTTACGTTGCCCGAGCTCCAAAAGACTCTGCTACTGGTAAGAGTCATGTTTCTGGGTTTGGGGTGGGGGGATGTTCAGAAAAAAAGTCTTTTCCAATTACATCACAAATTTGTTTTCAGTTAAAACATCCAGCCTTTCATCCATTCACACGATACAGCCAGTTTTAACAAGTTTTCACCATTTGTCACTGTCATTTCTATTCTAGTGGTTCCCAGAGGCCTCTCAAACGTTGATTCCCTATGTTTAATAGCTCTCTACAATTTTAAATGAAAAGGAAGTCTTTTCCCTGATATTATATTCCTGATTAATGAGCAGATGTGGCAGGTGGTCAAAATAATGATATAGGAGGAAGTGACTAAGTTTATATGAGCAAGTTTTACAAGGTAACTGGGAGTCATAGATTGTTGTTCAAGAGTCGCTGCCACCTGAGTGTGAAAGAAATGTAGATCTACCATGATTTTAAAATGCTGACACTATATATGTCTGGAATTATTATGTTTTAGTCCCAGTAAAACAATTAATTCTCAAAAAAAAAAAAAAATCAAAACCAAAGAGCTTCTACTGGACAAATTTTGCTGTGTTGCAAAATATGTCTGATTTATAAAGAATTTTTATAAATTTTAGGACCAATGCTGCATTTTATTAAAAATTAACCTTAGGGACAATATGATGCAGAGATTGATTTGTAAGATAGAGGAAAGATGCACATGAAATTTTGGGAGAATAAACTTTAATGTCCTGGGGTTTACATTTCTATATATGTTTCATTCTTTTTTCATTGCTTTTCCATTGCCTCTGGAATTCTGTGCCCTGGGCACCGGTGTCATCCTTGTGCTTGTAATTTGTACGGTGTATGCTGGTTTGCTTCCCATCGAGGGTCGCAGCAGGAGGCAGAGCTCCTGAAGCTGTAAACCCTGCTTCAGGTACGAGCAGCACTCCAAACCACCTGAAGTGCTGGGATCGCCCTGAGGACTGGCCATACAGTTCAAAGATTCTTTATAGCAAAATAAGTAATTCCCATAACTTAAAAAAAAAACCCATAAATTTCTAGTTTTACCTGCATGGTTCTAACTATGGAGTGATTCAGAACAGCTCTGTTGTGTAAGGGCAGAGGTAGGTGAATATTCTTGGCCTAAAGCAAGGGTGGGAAGTGAGAAATGTTATCTGCTTGTCCATTCCAGTTCAAAGTCAAACAGATGAGCTTAAGTTATGTGTGACTTCGGTTAACCTACTTGATTTTACATTAGAAATGAATGAAGTCCCGCATTACCATGCCTCGCCTCCAGCAGAGATAACTTGCCCCTTGCCTGCCCTTATTTGCACATCAGGTCAATGCATCAGGAGATTTACCGGCTCAAAGTTGTGTGCATTGCTGATACTGTCACCACTTTAAATGCCACATCCCCAGCCCCACTCTTTTAGAGGAAGAACTGAGAACCTCTTTTTAAAATCTGGGTGGGTGGCCCTCTCTCACTATCTAGTTAAGATTTTGTTTTGAAAGTCTTCTTTATTTTAAATACTCTCGATAACACTCAATGACTCGCTATTATTTGTTCTGTTGCCTGCAAATGCACATAGGTCCTTACAGTCGTTGTCTGAAGTCCTGAGAGACTGAATACTGCATTGTCCTTGAGTGTAGTATCTGCTGTGGCACTGCTACAGCGTTCAGCGAAGTCTGTGAGGGCACTGTAGAAAATGTGATCTGTTGCGATGCTTGGCCAAACGTCCAGAAAGACTAAATAAGAACGAGATGAATAAATAAAACTGTTGTCCATGAGGATCTTCCTTTAAGTGGGCTGCCAGGCTTCAAGTGGTATTTCTTCTGGCTAACATATATTATACTGTAGCTGGATGTTAGAACTGTTTTAAATCCTTTGGTGTTCAGTCAGTCAAATGCTTTGAAAAACATTCAACCTGTGACAAATGTAGGACTAATTCACAGAGTTAAAACAGGTTGACTGCTCAGTATCTCATGCCCTTAAAGATACTATTGCTCATTATATACTTGTCTTGGATTTCTCAAAGGAGTCTTCTCCTAGGCATATATCTAGCATGTCTTGCAAACTAATTGTGTGATCCACCTGAACAGAGCAACTTTGGATTCTATTTTTTAGAAAAACATTACTAATATAACATTACTAATTACTAATTACTAATAACATTACTAAAAACATTACTAATATAAGAGGTTTCTTCTTTTCTTCTTTTTGAGTTTTCCCCTGTACACAATATAACGTGATAACGTTCCCTTCTCACTTGAGGTGCTGTTCAGCACCACACGTCCCATTACAGTAATTTGCATATAACTACATGGCAACCTTCTAAAGCTAATATGTCCCCTGGTGCTACTGATGGCAGCAGCCTTGTGACGTGTTTCAAATCTGGTTCTAGGATCAATGGTTGTTTATTTTTCTGCAAATGATAAGGAGTCTGCTTTGATAAATATCACTGTAATAACAACTAAAGAAATAAAATTCCATTAAAATCACTAACAGACCTCTCGGTCTATTCATGAACTGTACATTAAACTGCACTTGTAAATATTTATTGTGTAAATAAACAGGTAATTTATCTTCCCAAGTATAAATTAAGTAACTGCATTTACAAATGAGAATATAATATCTCCTTGGATATGTAGATTCCTGACTTGCACATGAAAATGTTGATTTGCCTCTCCAGGTTGTATTCATGAAAGTTTAATTAGGAACTTCATTTTAATTTTGAAACTTGATGTTTTAATTCTGAAAATGTATCATTGCACCAGACAAAACAGATAAATTTGAGGTACAGTGTCTACACTGTACCTGTGAGGCCACACCTGGAGAACTGCGTTCAGTGCTGGGCTCCTCAGACCAAGGGAGACAGTGAGATGCTGGACAGAGTCCAACAAAGGGCCACAGAGATGGTGAAGGGAGTGGAGCATCTCGCCCATGAGGAAAGGCTGAGAGAGCTGGGACTGTTCAGCCTGGAGAAGAAAAGGATATAGAATCACAGAATCATAGAATGGTTTGGGTTGGAAGGGACCTTAAAGACCATCTAGTTCCAACCCCCCTGCCATGGGCAGGGACACCTTCCACTAGACCAGGTTGCTCAAAGCCTCATCCAGCCTGGCCTTGAACACTTCCAGAGAAGGGGCATCCACAGCTTCCCTTTTCCTGTCACTACAGGCCCTTGGAAAAAGTCCCCCCCAGCTTCCTTGTAGCCCCTTCAGGTACTGGAAGGTGCTATAAGGTCTCCCCGGAGCCTTCTCTTCTCCAGGCTGAACAAGCCCACCTCTCTCAGCCTGTCCCCATAGCAGAGGTGCTCCAGCCCTCTGAGCATCTTCGTGGCCTCCTCTGGACTCACTCTATGGTCTATGTCCTTCTGATGTTGCGGGACATGGGGGATCTTAGCAATGTCTATAAATACCTGAAGGGAGGCTGCAAAGAGGACAAAGCCAGTCTCTTTCCAGTGGTGCCCAGTGTCAGGACCAGAGGCAGTGGGCACAAACTGGAACATGGGTGGTTTCCTCTGAACATCAGGAAAGACTGGTTTTTACTGTGAGGGTGGCAGAGTGTTGGCACAAGTTGCCCAGAGACTTTTTGGAGTCTGCATCCTTGGATACCCAAAAGTCATCTGGACATGGTCCTGAGCAACCAGCTGTAGGTGGCTCTACCTGAAAAGGGGGGTTGGACCAGATGACCCTGAGATGTCCCTTCCCACCACTACCATTCTGCGATCCAAATAACTTGCGTGAACTATTACATGTTTTCTGCGTGGTGCTATGTGATCTTAACAAATGTTAAATCCATTAAGGCATAAGGTACAGCATCTTGGCAACAGGTATTTACTGTGTGGGACAATTAGACTTCACAATTATTCTCTACATGGAACTTATTTTCTAAAACATTACTTTTTTGGCACATTATTTGATATTTGTTATATGACGGTTCAGTGTTCATTCTCCCTCATACTTGGTAAGAGCATCTTGTATCTTTGTACAGACCATCTTCATTGTCTGGGATACAAAGTGGGTCTTCACTTAACCTGCTTATAAATGTCCACATGCGATCCACATCCGTATGCCATAGTCCTATGCTAACATGAAATTAAATACGCCTTAGAAGTGCCTGTTTCTCTCTTTTCAGTGTAAGAAAATACATTTAGTGAGCTCAGATGTAAACACACATAAGGTAAATGTCTAAATTTGGACAGAGACATTTACTCAACATTACAACTTTTGCTACTACTATCTTTCTCACGGGTTTACACATTTTTGGTTTATTTTTGTATGCATGTCATTTAAGGTATTGTTCCTGTTACAAGAGAAAAGCAGGGTTTTGACAACCATGAAAATGAACACAGAGCTTTTTTGGATCACGGAAGGCAAAGTGTAGCCTCTAAGAAATGGAAGCCTACTCATCATGCACAGGTAAATATTAAATACTAGAAAAAAATAAAAGGTTATTTACCCTCAAAATGGAAAGAATTTCAAGGATATCAAAGATTTGTGCAACGTCACAAAATTTTGAATCAACGTGCTTGATCAGCTTCCTGTCACTGCTAATGAAATGAATAAAACCAACTCGCATGCATCACTGTATTAGCATACACTAATATTTTTGCACTTGGAAATACTTAGTAATATGAAATAATAAATAAAAAATGTTCAAAGCAGTATAGTTAAATTTCACTTAAAATATTCTTATCCTATTTTTGATAGAATTCATTGTATATTGGCCAGCTGAGTCCTGTTCAATCTGCATCTGAGCCGGCACAAAGTATGATTAACACCTGTAAGTGTGATGCAGGTATAGTAACACACCTCAGTTCAATTCTTCGTTATACATAAAGTAGTGACCTAATATATCCACGGTGTGGTGTCAGCTGTGTCTTCTGAGGCTCTTCAGAGGGATCTGAAT